CTCTAATCCACCAACACCCCAATCACAAGCTAAGTCCCACCCCTCAGAGGCCCTGTTTTTGGCACGGCAATGCTGGGTACTGGGCCAAGGCCTGCTCCAACTTGAAGCCCACCCTAGTTCAAGGCTCTAGTCCTCCTGCTGCCTGTATTAACTGTGGCAGCACCGGACATCGGGCCAGGAGCTGCCCTAACCCGAGGCCTCCCTCTGCCTCGTGTCCCAAGTCACTGGAAGACAGACTGCCTCCAGGGAGGGAAACCTTCTTTCTGGAACAGCCCTCTGCTCAACCCCTCCAGCACAGGACATCTCATTTCTGTTCAACAGAATGAGGCGGCCTGGATTCTAATAGGGACAGTGTCTGGAAAGCAAGTTTCTTTCTTGGTGGACACCGGAGCTGGTTTATCTGTTTTAAGTGAATATTGCCCTTCCTTCCTTGCTCAGTCTGTTGTTGGCATGAAAGGCCTGATAAGACCCCTCCCTTATATTGCTCCTTCGGAGATGCAACTCTCCGGCATTCCTTTCTAGTCCTTCCTAACTGCCCCACCCCCCTCTCAGGTAGGGACCTTTCTCCACTGCTTGGGGGCATCTATCCATCTCCATTCCCACCAGGGATAAATCACAAACCTTTATAATTCACATATGGACCTTCCTCTCCCCACCTCTCCACCCCAGACTCCCTCCTTTCCCCTGGTTAAGCCTGTAGTGTGGGGTACCTCCCACCCAATCACCACTCACTATACCCCCCATTCACATCTCTCTAAAAGACCCTACAAACACTATTGCTGTTCCCCAATATCCTTTAAGCCCAGAAGGCCATAGAGGTCTAAAACCTATTATAGACTGCCGCCTCTGAGCTAACACTTACTTCCACCCACTCCCCCCATAACACATCTATACTTCCAATCAAAAAGCCAGATGCCATTTAGTGTAGGACCTCCCAACATATTAATGCTGCTGTCCATCCCGTATACCCAGAGGTGCCAAACTCCTACACACTCTTCTCCTAAATAGCCCCCTACAACTTCTTTCTTTTCCACCCTGGACCTGAAGGATGCTTTCTTCACAATTCCTCGACACCTTTGCCTCTACCAGTTCTGACCCCGATACTCACCTTACTCGCAGCCCTCCTGGACTGTAATATCCCAAGGTTTCCAGAACAGTTGGCACACTTTTGGGCAGGCCCTCCAGGCAGATCTAGCCTCTATTAACCGGTCACCCAGCACCCTTCAATACGTTGATGATCTTCTCCTGGGTAGCCCCTCCCGAGACGCCTGTCTCCAACACACCACTAGTCTTTTAAACGTTCGACCTGAGAAAGGTTATCAGGGATCTCCAGAGCAGGCTCAGATAGTTTCCACATCTGTCACCTTCTTGGACTTCCCGTGATGCCAGACACTAGTGCAATTCCACCAGCCTGAAAACAGGCAATCCACTCTCTTCCTTTCCCATGTACTAAGCATGACCTCTTCTTTCTTGGGATTCGTGGGATATTTTCACACCTGGATTCCAAACTTTTCTGATTGCTAAACCTCTCTGAGGCTACTAAAGGCAATCTAGACAAGCCCTTGCAAGAGACCTCTTCCTTAGAAACCCCATTCTAAACCCAAAAGGCTCTCCTACAAGCACCTGCGTTGAGCCTTCCTAACCCACTTAAATCGTTCTCCCTCTATAACCACAGCTCAAAGGGGGTACTCAGTCTCCTGACCCAAGAGGCTGGAGACTATTATGCCAGAGGCCTATTTTTCCAGACAATCAGATGGGGTTCATCAAGGCTGGCCCCAGTGCCTAGGGGTCCTGGCCTAACCTGAGGCCCAGAAGCTCCCCCTGTATCTACCCTTATGAACCTGGTCCTCTCACAGGTTGCAGGACCTCCTCAGCCTTTTTAATCTATATCACTTTTCAATCTATATCACTATCTCATGTCCAGGTTCTTCCTGTTACCCTTCTCTGGCCCACTGTTACCTGTCATCACTGTCTCCTCCCAGCCCAGCTACTCTCCTCCCACCGCCACCTCTGATCCCTTGAGCCCCACTCCTTTCCCAACTTCCCGGACTTTTCCTGACTGCATTTCACCACCACAGACACTCCTATTCCCGAAGCCCCGGACTGGCTCACTGATGGCAGTGCTTCTAAAACTCCTTTTCCCACTGGATATGCAATAATGGAGGGCACCATGATGACACTTCCTCCTCTTCCCCACATAAGGTCATGGAGGCAGGTCCCTACCTCAAGGCATTACCTTCCAACAGGCTGAACTGTTGGCCTGGATTCCAGCCTTCACCTTAGCCAAAGGAAAGACAGGCAGTATATACACAGATTCCTGATATGCCTACATCATCATCTATTCCAGTGCCCAGATATGGCAAGAAAGGGGCTTTCTGACAGCCCGAGGGACCCCTATAATAAATGGCAGGCTGATGAGAGCTCTCCTTGATGTTGTCCAGCTGCCAACAAAAGCCGCTATTACTCACTGCAAAGGACACTAGAAAGGTAAACAATCTGAAGCTAACAACAAGGCTGATCTGACGGCTGAAGCAGTGCCTCATGGGAAACAATCCCATCTTTTCTTGTAACTTAGCTCCCGTATAGTCAGAGCTCGATTCTCTCCGTTCCCACAACAAGGGACATCTAGAAGGACTCATGGTGCTTTCTAGATGAACTAATACTGCCTTCTTCTCTCCAAGTTACCTTTCTAAATCAAATTCTCCTCACACATACACCTAACTTCTGCCATATGAGAAACTATGCAGAACATATCTCACAATTGTAGCATCTGTCAAACTGCTAACCCCAACTCTATCAGGCCACCCCCACTCCCCAGGCATGCGGATCACTCCCGGGGAGGACTGGCAGGTTGACTTCACCCATACGCCACCAGTTAGGTGAACACGCTACCTTCTGGTGATGGCAGACACCTCCTCGGGGCGAGTGGAAGCTTTCCCCGCTACTAACAAAAGAGCTGCCATTTCCACTGTATCATTAACTGGCATTATCCCAGGAGTTAGATTACCTGCTCCCCTTCAGTAACAGACCAGATATCAAATTGTGTCTGCCTCTCTTCATCTCATGGCATTTCACATTCCCTATCGTCCCCCTAGTTCAGGAAAAGAACAGATGAATGGAATTTTAAAACAGGCTCTAGCTTAACTCTCTGCCCAGGTCCACTTAGACTGGGTGAAACTCCTCCCTTTAGCTCTGTGAAGAATCAGCTCTCTTCCCCAGAGGCCTGTTTGAAATTCTCTATGGAAGGCCTCTCCTTCCACCTAAGTTCCCTCCCCTACAGAACTCTGAAGCTATTCCTCCTCCTCCTCCTCTCGCTCTCCCTCTTCTCACTGAAATGTGCTCTCATTATGGAGCTATGCAGACACACACCTACCCAAAGCACACTTTCTGCCTACCGACTCTATTCCTACTTTTCCACCTGGTGACTGGGTTTATCTAAAACAAAGTAAACAAAGCGAGGCTGCTCTAAAGCCAAAGTGGATCGGTGATACTGACTACTCCCACCACAGCCAGACTCAAAGGACACCCCCGTTGGGTGCATTTTACTTCATCAAAACTAGTTATATCTCCCTCATATAAGTCTACTGCACAGGACACACCTCTCAGGTTCATGTGCTAATGAGGGGCATCCACAAGGTCACTCAGCCTCATTTTGGCCATTGTTTCCACTGTGGGCAATGTCTCTGGTATCTCCTTTTGTCTTCATAATCATAGTGCTATTTCTGCCATGTATAATTAACCCATCCCAAAGGTTCTTGCAGGAACGAATACCTGCTCTATCTCAAGCCATCTCATAGGAGCAACACTAGACTGCTCCTCTTCTTCTATCAGATCTCGAGTATAGACCCCCCCCACCTCCCAGCTCAAGTCCTGGCTCCATGTCTACACCCCACATCAGTGGGAAGTAGCCAGAGAGAAATCTGAGTATAGATAAGGAGAAGGTACACTGAGTCAGGATTGATGGAAGGAAGACATAAGTCTCAGCCGTTCTCTCATTGCTCAGAAGACAAATCCTGGAATTTACTCTTTGCCCTTGAATCCCAATTGGTTCTCACACCCTGTGGCCTTCATTCTCCACCCCCACATTCTTCATCAGGCTCCCAAGCCCCCCCCCCCCCACCATGGACACCTGAAAGACCATTTCCAGGAATTCCCCTCTGTTTGCTACCTCTACCCCCACCCCCATCCCTAGCCCTCTTAAAATATAAGGCCCCGTCCCTGAGGTCAGGCCTTCAGCCATGCGCTTCATCAACATGCATGCCAGCAGTTGGTCACCCACCTCCGTGAATTTATTTTCTGAGTAAATTTGGTCTGGCTGTAGATGTGTATACTGCCTCCTCTCTGTTCTGAACCTCTTTTCCTAACACACACTGTGCTTGGAATACAACTACGCTCTAGTGGCAAGTTGGTTCCCAAACATACCTCGGTTTGGAAGTCCTACTTTAGAGAGGAGGAAATGCTGACTCAAATACATGGCATGATTCACCCTAGAACATGCCAGAGCTGGAACATTCCCCAGATCTGTGGAATAGCAAAGCCTGGTCTCTTCCCATGACCTATGGATTCGGCCCCTGCCCAGGCCACCACTCAGATGTCACAGCCCTCCCTGGTCCGCACCTCCCCAGTCTGGTTCATCTCTTGCCTGCTCCCCCCCATCCTCTCAATAACTTTTGCCCCCTCCCATCTCTAAGGGTCACGACAGGTGCCACTGGCCACTCTCCTACACTATAGCTTTTACTCTGTTGTGCAAAATTCTGTTACGTGTGGGTCAGTCATCAGGGAAAAGTCAAGATGTGTTTAGAGTTAAAAAGTGCCAAAAGGCGATTGTCCACGTCTTGTCTCAGAGAAGGGACAACTTAAGGGCTAGCGTGTTGTTGGGCACCAGCAATTTCCGGAACCCTTAAGAAAAAGTAACCGCAGGCCACTGCTGCGACCATGTCTTCCCCTGAGGCTCCCTGTGACTGTGGAGAGCCAGGGAACAAAACTCCAGCCCCACCATTTGCAAGTGCAACAGAGTTTCCATTTTATTCAGGTGCTCACAGCGGATCAGCCTCTACTGTCATTTGATCCTAAGTAATGCATGTAACAGTCACCACACCAGATGGAAGTGAGCATGTATGAAATCCGTGTAGCCAGGTCCCTAAGCCAGGCACCCTGAGGGAAGGTGTGGCAATGAGGCAGAGGCACCCCTGTTGCTCCCAGCATCTTGAGAAGAGTAGACTGGGCCCCGGCACCATCCTTCTCCGTGCAGCCTCCCTTGCTGGCAGGTACCTGACTGTCCCGTGGGCTGCAGGGTGGCTCAGGCTGGAGCGATGTGCCCAAAGCCAGGTGTCTTGATGCTGGGGATGTCATTCTTCCGGTAGAAGTCAGCCTGCACGTGGTTGGCACGGCGGAAATCCCGGTTCAGTGGCTCCACGGGCTGGTGGATGCGCCTCCCGTAGACGGAGGAGGCCAGCACGCCCACGGGCCTCTCTCGTTCCTGGGGAGGCCAGCAGAAGGCTCGGTCAGCACCCGGTAGTCCTCAGCATGCAGACTCACCCACCAGCCTGGGTCCCAGCCCGTGGGCAGAGCCGGCACCTGCACACCTGCATGCCACCTCCACTCGGCTACTTCCGGTCTCCTGCACACTGAAGCCAGGGGCACGACTGAAAGACCCCAGCTCTGTTCCCTCTGCCTAGAGCCCTCCAGTGCCCAGGCAGAGGGAAAAGCAAGAACCCACACAGGGCCCTGGGCACCAGCTACCCCTGACTTCAGATCCAGGCCCTGCCTCCCTGCACTCCTGTCTCCCTGTCCTCCTCCTCCTCATGCCTTTCTTCTCCCCCCTACCTCCTTTCCTGTCTCACTCCCTCCCCCCAAAAATGTCCTGAGTACCACCTTCCAGCCCCTGGGCCTTTGTTCCATTCACTTCCAACTTCTCTGCTCCTACTCATGCCAGAGCCTGTCACACTGCCCAAGCTGCCACTCAGCTGTCGCAGCCCTCCCTGGTCCCCGCCTCCCCTGTCCTGTTCATCCCTTGCCTGTTCCCCACCATCCTCTCACTAACTCCCCCCACCACCACACAGCACCACAGATACCATCCCTTTTCCAGAGTGCTCGAGACTGGAAGTGTTTTCAGTTTCAGCATGCTTGCACAGGCATAACAAACTGTCTTGGGGACATGGCACGGAAGTCATTCATCTTTCATATACACCTTGCACACCCACTCTGCAGGTAAGTTTATATTTTTTTGTGTATGTGTGTGTGTGTGTGTGTATATATATATATTTGACAGGCAGAGTTAGTGAGTGAGAGAGAGAGAGAGAGAGAGAGAGAGAGAGAGAGAAAGGTCTTCCTTCCGTTGGTCCACTCCCCAGATGGCCGCTACGGCCAGCACACACCAATCCAAAGCCAGGAGCTTCTCCTGGTCTCCCATGGGGTGCAGGGTCCAAGCACTTGGGCCATCCTCCACTGCCTTCCCGGGCCACAGCAGAGAGCTGGACTGGAAGAGGAGCAACCAGGATAGAATCTGGTGCCCCAACCGGGACAAGAATCTGGGGTGTCGGCACCACAGGCGGAGGATTAACCTAGTGAGCCGCAGCGCTGGCCATATTTTAGTATATTTTTAACATCTTGCATGACAGTTTCGTGGCATAAAATTTTCAATTTTGGGTGTCACATTCATGCTCAAAAACTTTTGACCTTTGGAGCATTTGGATTTGGGATTTTAAGGTTAGGGTTGCTCAATCCTACCCAATATTAGTAAATTTTTTTTCTCTCCTCTATCAATTCTAAGAGGATAGGAACCTGTGTCTTGCAACTTTAATGCTCCAAAATTATGAGTGGATTTAAGTAATTCAATCCACAGTCTCCTCATGCTTCTCCCCCAGAAGGTCCCCAGCAAGAGCATTTCTTGAGGTCCACCTCTGTTATCCAAAGCCTCATTAAGATCAGAACAAAACCACATCCAGTGAAATAAGCCACTGCCTGCAGTGCTGGCATCCCGTATGGGCACCAGTTCGAGACCTGGCTGCTCCAATTCCAATCCAGCTCTCCACTATGGCCTAGGAAAACAGTAGAAGATGGCCCAGGTCCTTGGGCCCCTGTACCTGTGTGGGAGACCTGGAGGAAGCTCCTGGCTTCAGATTGGTGCAGCTATGGCCGTTGCGGCCATCTGGGGTGTGAACCAGCAGATGGAAGTTCTCTCTCTCTCTGCCTCTCCTAAGTGTGTGTAAATGTGACTTTCAAGTAAAATAAATATTTAAAAAGAAAAGCAATGCCCATGACGTACATAATAGTATCTCATGGTACTCTACCACTGAAGTTCATATCAAAATAACGAAAATCATTAACAGTGGCACTATATTCTTAAATAACAGGCACAGGCAAAAATCTGATGATCCCAGGAGAAATGTCACCGAATCTTTCGTATTGCAGCTTCCGTGTAATCCATTGGGCACACGATCATACTGCACACCTGTGAGTAAGCGTGCGTCCTCGGATCAGACTTGAAGAGAATGGCAGCATGTGGAAAGCAGAAGACTGTAACCCAAAAGGCAGGTGGGTCTGACCAGACTAAGGAGACCCAACTCCCCTGCAAACTTGTCTGACCTGTCACGTGCCAGGGTCCTGCGGCTCCTTACCCGAGAGCTTTCCTAGCCCTGGAGGTCACCCACCTTCGAAGCTGACTAGGCAATAACCCTCCCTTTCAGAAAGCGGTGGGTTGATCAAGAAACAATTGCAGCTCCTGTGGTCACAGTGCCTTGGCAAGCACACTTGGCAGGAGGACACTTGCATGGGTCATCTCGTCCCTGGAAGGCCAATGTCCCTAGAGGAGCTGTGACAGCCACAACTCAGAGGTTAAGCAGAGACCTGTTTTATTGCTCTCCTTAAATTGTTAGCTTCTAAAGAACCCAACAACAAAATGAAAAAGTTAACAATTACACAAATGACATGTCAAATAGAGGGAATTATAGTATCAGCCTAGGCTTAGCTTCTTGGCAAAGCAAAATAGAGATTAGCCACATAAAGATATAAAGTGACTGATCAAATATACGTACATATACACACACCTAAACACACACATGCATGCATGAACATACACAATGCACAAATATACACATGCCTATAAACATGCATGCATATATTGGCACAGGCACATGGCATATAGAGATGCACATATGCTTACAGACACATAAAACAAAGAAGCATGCACTCCTACATATGCACACATGTGCATGCACCTTTTTGTTAATGTTAACAACTTGCTAATATTCCGTCTTAACATTACCTCCTTGTTAACATGAAGTCCCAGGCCTTTTGTGTGCTCTCTGTCATCCCGGTGCAGTTTCTGATTATAATCAAGCTTCCTCTTAAAAACGCAGTCGTAGAGGGAAATAATCCCCGTCTGGGAATAAAAAAGAGAAAGCACAGCCCTGGGTTTATTGAAGGCTGAAGTTCAAGGCTTTGAGCCACAGAGCTCAGAAGCCAATGTGCCCAGAAGTCTCCGTGGCGGGGAGTTTGCAGCAGGAAAGGGCACTCCCCCAGGCAGAACCGGACTGGACCGCAGGATGCAGGGTGGCTCCAGCGTGCCTCCACTCCCCAACAGAGGAGTTACTCCTCCTGTCTGACCCCATCGCTACAGCCAAACCTAGCAATCACACTGCCCTCCTCAGTCCCCGCCAGAGAACATGAGATTCATAAACAGCCGGTTCTCAGTTCTGGAGGCTACAGATCCAAATCTAGGTGCGGGCGGGCTCACTGCTCAGGGAAGGCTACCCCACATCCCAGGGGGCACCCTCTCACCACGCCCTCTCCAGGGGGAGGGGTTGCTGAGCTCCTGGAGCCAGGGAGGCCCCAGCGGCGGTTTCCACCAACTGGAGATGAGGCTTCAGCACGCAAAACCTTCAGATCACAGCCAATCTAAGGGCATTCAGGTTTGCGTGTTCTCATTTGTTTTTTATGTTTCCCGAGTTTTCTGTAACAAGCCTGCACTACTTTCAAAACTTAGCAATGCCCGAAGGAACACCAAGAGAACACAAGGGATGGGGAGTCTCCATTCCAGTTGTTAGCCGGTCATCACACCATCTACAAGGAACCCGCTGCTCAGAGACAAAAGCCATCTGTCATCATGCACAGTAGCTGCAACACGTGGCTGTTCATATATACATGTATGTGCAATACACACACATGTATCATACACAGTTCTGATGTATTAGACCCATTGACAGAGCTATCATAGAATTTCTCCTTTTTCCTCAACTGTCTCAGAATAAAACAGCAAATTCGCCTTGTTTCGTGTAAGAGAAAAAGGAATGGCGCTGTGGTGCAACGGGTTAAAGCCCTGGCCTGAAGCGCCAGCATCCCATATGGGCTCTGGATCAAGACCTGGCTGCTCCGATTCTGATCCAGCTCTCTGCTATGGCCTAGGAAAGCAGTGGAGGATGGCCCAAGTCCTTGGACCCCTGCACACACATGGGAGACCCGGAAGAAGCTCTTGGCTCCGGATCAGCACAGCTCCGGCCATTGCAGCCAACTGGGGAGTGAACCATTGGATGAAAGACCTCTCTCCCTCTGCCCCTCCCCACTCTCTGCCCCCCCGCCCCCTTCCCCTCTCCCTCTACCCCTCCCCTGCCCCTCCCCCATCTCCCCCTTCTCCCCCCTCTTCCTCTGCCCCTCCCCTCTCCCCCTGCCTCTCTCCTCTCTCCCCCCTGCCCCTCCCCTCTCCCCCCCTCCCTCGGCCCCTCCCCTCTCCCCTCTCCCTCTGCCCCTCCCCTCTCTGTGTAACTCTTTCAAATAAGTCTAAAAAAGATCTCCTCTGATCACCTGACACAGCAGTAGAGGAAGCTGGGGAGCATGTACATTAGGTGTCATGTGTTGAACACACAGCAGCCTTCACCCAGCCCGACTGCAGCACCTCGGAGACCTGGCAGCTGTGGGAACAGCCAGAGCACAGCCTGGCTTCAGCCTTTCACTGATCCTGTGCTATACAAGTGCTCCTGCTAAGGGAGTTCAGAAGGTAATCGACATTCCTACTGTCCCCACACAACCAGCCATCCCTAAGGGACACCCACGGCTGTCAGAAGGTTCGAGAATTCCCTGGGGCAGCAAGGGCCAGGCACTCACCACTGCGGGAGCCCTGGGTCCCCCGAAGGTCAGTGTCACACTTTGTACAGTGGGGGAGGGAAGAGACCTTCCACCACGAACTGTGGCTTCTGTCCCCTGGCCACTGCTGGTCATTTCCCCAGCTGAGCATGGGCTCCTTTCTCATCTGACTCCCACTCAGCTTCTGGGTGTGTGCACGCCTAACTGCCTGGGCCTGAAGGCACACATGGTATAGCCCATGTACTCGAAGGGTTAAGGATCAACGGGGAATGCATCCTTTGTTCAGTATTCCATACTGTGAGAACCGGCCAGTTTCTGGGGTCCCTATACCACATTATAGACAAGTAAATTCTGGACATATTAGAAAAAGAAATGGCAAAGTCTTTAGGGACATCCAATACATAAGCACAATGGAAAAAATGTCACACATAAAACTGACTACAGTAGACATTTGCTGATCAAATAGAATTAAGATTTTTCAAAACCGTGTTAAGACAGGGCAGAGAATCTCATCACGTGTTCATAACACGTAGGGAGTCCTGCTGCAGGCTGCTGGGCCACTTCGCCCGTAGAGGCCAAGCCTCGCTGCTGTGGGTTCACTAATGGGCACTGTCCACCAAGTCCCAGGACGCCAGCCACCTGGGGATGGAGGGGCTACAGCCTTTGGACAAAAGTCCTGAGACCCAGAGCTTCCCCTGTGATGTCCAAAGCTCATCACCAGGCCTGGCCGAGATTTGCAAGGTGTGCGGTGCAGAACAAGTCTTCCCAGGCAGACGAATGAATTAATTCACAGGCTTTTATTGGGATTCCGCTCCCCGGTGAGGTTCCCCGGTCCCAACAGAGCAACGGAGGGGGGGGCGGGGAGTCCCATGTCAGAGGTTGGGAGGACTCCTTTTATAGCTACAGGGCATGGGGGTTAAAGGTTGAGGTGGGTCTGATCCTCATTGGTCGACCTTTAGGCACCCGTGGGGACCTTGACAAGGACTTTTCTTCCCCGGAAGTACAGGTAGGGACTCTCCATTCCCGGAAACATAGGCCTTCCCTCCTGCGGATCCCAAAGCTACCAAGGTCCAGCAGCCAGTGAGCAGAACAAGTTAGATACCACGTGACTGCTGCACATCCCCACTGACACACACCCGTTTCAAGTGTCGTCAGATAATGGTGGGGCTCTTGGTCCTAAGAGGATTCCGTTGTCCCTGGAACTTCTCTGGACCAGGCCAGTCCTGGGCCACACATGGACCTGGAGGTGATCAGCCATGACATGACACAACATGCACACCTGCTCTCCGGTACTGAACGCCATCATGGGAGCCTCACCCACAGCCTGAGGCAGCATCTTCTCCTGCACCCTGAGAACCAGGTGCCAAGTTGGGGTGTCGGCTGGTGCCTCAGTCCCCGAAGTGCTCCCTCCCCGGGGCTGAGAGATGGCACAGATGCAGAGAAGCAGGTCCTCCCGAAGCCACAGGGCCTGGCTTCCTTCTGACAAGATGTCACCAGGCCTGGCCCTGCACACCAAGCAAGTCCCCCAGGCTCCTGGACCTACCCCGAGAGGAAGAGCTCAGAAAAAGGGGGCTGTAGTCACTGCCTGTATGTGAAAGACCCACGAACTTTGTTCCCAGGGTAACAAGCAGCCTGACAGAAACCTGCTCAGGCCTCCTACTCAAAGAATCAACGCCATGGGCCACAGCCAGGCCCGGTTCACGGCACCAGGCCAGTTAGCCAGAGTCTAGCTCAGCTTCGTCTCTACCAGGAACCCACAGCTGGAGTGGGCAACGTACACAGCTGTTTTTCGTGAAGATTTTGCATCGTCAGGACTTTCCACAGTAAAAACGAGCTTCTATTGTTGAACAATAAGGATAAAAAGAAGAAACTCAGCAGGCAGACGGCCTCACTTCGCAATGTGTCTATCCCTTTCCGATACCGAATCAAAATAAAAATCTGCCTTTGCCCGCATTTTCATTATTAATCTCTCTTACTTTCTTTCCTTCTTTGTGGCTTGAAGCAAAATAACAAAAGCTGCCCAGGATTTAGATGCAATCACAAAACGGCTTCTGAATCGACTGCTCTTTTGCAATTATCCCTCAGGGAACTGCCTCCATTTCACCCCTAATGTTGCTTTTTAGAAACAAAGGAAAATGGAGGGGCCGGCATTGTGGTGTAGCAGGTTAAATTCCTCCTGCAGCGCCAGCATCCCATGTGGGCGCTGGCCCAAGTCCATGCAGCTCCACTTCTGACCCAGCTCCCTGCTAATGGCCTGGGAAAAGCAGCAGAGGAAGGCCTGAGTGTCTGGGCCCCTGCCACCCATCCAGGAGACCTGGATGGAGTTCCAGGCCCCTGGCTTCAGCCTGGCCCAGTGCAGGCCATTGTGGCCTTCTGTGGAGTGATCCAGCAGATAGAAGATCTGTGCCTCTTCCTCTCTAACTCTCTCAAAATAAACCAATCTTTAAAAACAAATGGAGGGGCTGGCACCGTGGCATAGTAGGCTAAGCCTCTGCCTGTGGCACCAGCATCCCATATAGGCACCAGTTCACACCCTGACTACTCCTCTTCTGATCCAACTCTCTGCTATGGCCTAGGAAAGCAGTGGAAGATGGCCCAAGTGCCTGGGTCCTTGCATCCACGTGGGAGACCCAGAGGAGGCTCCTGGTTTCGGATCAGCCCAGCTCTGGCTGTTGCAGCCAACTGGGGAGTGAACCAGCAGATGGAAGACCTCCGTCTCCTCCCTCAGTCCATAAACTCTGGCTCAAATATTTTTTTAAAAGGAAAACAGACAATTTTTCTCCAAGGATCTCTCCTACTGTCCTGAGTCCTCGCCCTGGTTAAGACATTTGATGCTAGGAGCTACCATCAGTCTCTCTCAGGTTACCCCCGCCCCCACCCACGCTTTACTAATAGTCTCGGGCCACCTGCGGTCAATTGCAGTCTGGAAATATTACATGGAAGACTCCAGAAACAAACAACTCATTTGTAAATTGCTCAATATTCCAAGCAGTGTGATGAAATTTTACACTGGCCCACCCAGAACATCGACTGTCCCCTTGCTCAGCATATCCACAGCCGTTACTCTCTCCAACCATGAGTCACTTAAGTGTCTCTGTGATGAGACTGACAGCTGGACACCACAGTGCTTGTGTCCCAGGAATCCTTAGGTAGCAGCCTAACACTCCGACACCATGCCATGCCATTCACCTCACTTCATCTCATCTACGGGCCTTGTATCATCTCCTATCACAAGGTGATGTGACCAATGACAGTAGAATAAGGTATTTTGAGACTGTCTCCCATGGGTGAACATGTCCTCATACAAATGTTGGAAGACACACATCACCGCATAAACACACCCTGTGAAAAGACACGCAAGTGCCTGCTCACACGGTGCTATGGTGGGAACACTCAGTCACTCCCATTGCCTCCCCCTGCCACTCACTTCTCTCTTAGATGCACCCTGAGCTCAGCCCCTCCTGCCCCTCACAAAGCACTGACCAGCCTTGGAGGATGACACTCAGTCACACTCAAGGCCTCGAGTCTTCCAGGGCAGGTTACCAGATGGTACAAGCGCAACTGGTACACAGCGAGAGAAGCTCCATGGTCTACCACCAGTTACCCTCCCGGGGGAGGGACAGCAAATAATCCAAACAGAAACCACTGTTGAGTCCACAAGGGTAGTCCTCAAAATGAGTTAGCCCCTTGTTTAAAAAAATTCAGCTAGCGATACATGCCCTCATTCATGCAACAGGTGTTAAGGGAACACTAACTAGGAGACAGGCCTCGCTTTCACAGCTGAGGACGGACACACACACACACACACACACACAGGGCAGTGATAAGATTAAACCCCTGCCCACATGCGGCTCATACTCAACAAAATAACTCCGTAACACACTGAATAGTTTAGGTGGGAAAATGTGCACGGGGACAGTCGGGCAGGGAGAGGGCAAGTGTAGCTGAGGGGCCAGCGTTTCCTCCGGGAAGCACAGGTTTGTCTGGGAGGGCCCGTGTATGCAGGAGTTCACGGGACAACAGGACAGGGCACCAGCAGGTCTTTGCTCCACTGCCTCCCCAGAGTGCTGGGCACGTGGGGCAGCTGTGCTTGGTGCCTCTCGGGAAAGCGGCTCCTTACAGAGGGCTGAGGGGGACGCCGATGCAGCACCCCTGTATACTGGGCACGGGCGTAGGCACTAGGGGGACCACCCTTCACGCCTCTGGACATCCAGCCTGTATTCAGGTGCATAAAGTGCTCGCTGGCGTGGCAAAGGGAGCTCCTGATGGACAGAAGGAAGTGGGCCAGTCCCAGCAAAGCCACACTGGGGCCTGGACAGCGAAGCCTCGCTCAGGACACTGCCACCCGCAGTCCACCCTAGCGTGATGGAAAGCCTATCCTAAAGCTGCTTAGGATTTTTTTTTTTAATGTGGCTCAGACTCTGAGGAATTTAATCAAAGCTTTCACAGAAGGGCATTCTCCTTTGACTCGGCCTTGACATCTCCAGGGCAGCAATGCTGCACCAGGCGGAAGAAAGTAATTTAAAACCTGCAGTGAGCAGCAGGGAATTTTACAGGAAGAGCCCTCCCCACGAGCGCGCCCCAGGGAGCAGGGCAGGAACTCCAGGTGCTTCACTGGCAGCTCGAGATGAAAAATCTGGGGGCCTTTCCCAGGCTTAAGTGTGCAAGCTGCAGACCCTTAATTCCATGGGCTCCCTGGGATGCATACCCGCGTTACCTGCCCCCACCTGCCCGGACCTCTGGCAGAGAACGAGGGTCCCGGACACCGCAGATTGGCCCGAGGACCCAACACTCAGCGCACGCACTCTGCTAATCACCAACAGAGCAAATCCTAACAGCAGCCACGTGCAGGGTGAACCCACCAGGTGCCACTGCATGTGTAATTACATCTGTGCTCACAAGGGCTCTCCCAGGTTGGCCCTGCATTGACTCCAACAGGAGCCAGTAGTCTTGCCCACCCTCAGCCTATGCAAACAATGCGCCCCCCACAAACCATCCTGAGCGCTCTCTCAGCAGCCAGCTCCTTCAGTCCTCTCTGGTTGCTGCAGGAACCCCAGAGCAGCAGAAACATGGTTCTCAACCTCTGGAGTGGAGCTCAAGATCTCGGACCCTGGCAGATTCAGAGTCCAGCAAGGGTCCTTTTTCCCATTTCACAGCAGCCACCTCCTCCCTGTGCCTCACAGGGTGCAACGGGGGGCCTCTAGGCTGCCTTGTCCGAGGGCACTAATCCCACACATGAGGGCTCTGCTCTGTGACCCTGACCCAGTCCCCCCCTCCCCCAGCCCATCTGCTTGGATGTTACGGTTTCCACCTGTGCATTTCAGGAGCAAAACATTCTGTAGTTTCTACTCAGCCTGACCCCTGCCTGCAATTAGGGGCATGGAGTTAGGTACAGCTGGGTCTTCCAACAGATCTGCTACAGAATTCACCCTCTGTTCCACATGATCTCCAGGCCAGCAAATCCACTTCTTGGGACCTGCAGCCGATAAACTTCGGCCCAGGTGATCCCAAGCTACCTTGGTACACGGGCTCGGCACACCTTCCCTTGTTCTTTGAAGGCCCTCTTAGAAGTTAGCATTTCTGTTGCATTTTCTTCTGTGTGACATCAAAGGCCCAGGACTTGACTTGTCCTATCAACATTACCCCAAGCCCACTTTGCTGCATTTGTTCTGAGCATCACCCCCACCTCCCAGAGGCCTTGGAGCAGGTAAAGGTCAGGCACAGTGGTCTCTACGGAAATTATTCAGTTCTGTGCCATAGCCATAGACAGTACTAGGAGAATAGTATGAGGCTATATTCTAATTAGACTTGGTTAAAACAGGTGGTGGGTGGACCACCCACCTGTGGCCCAGGCGCCTTCCTCGGCTGACAGGCACACCTCTGGCCCATCCTCACCCTCCTTCCAGGTTACGGAGGCCTTGCTCACTCCAGGCCTGTCTTGGTGGATTTGACTCCAGACTGGCAAATTCAAGAAGATTAAACCGGAGCTGCCAGGCTCAACTCCGCCCCCTTTCCCTCGGCCCTGCCCACAGGAGCGGATGATTACCCTATGCTTTTCCCTGCGGCCCCTGCTGCTGCGGCTGGGTGGGCGGCTCTGCCTGCTTGTGCCCAGGTCTGGACTGCACTATCCACAAGCTTGGGTGCCCAGAGCTCTCAGCAGGGTCCCACAGCCTGGCCTTTATCGCTGACCAGTGCAGATCCTGACCTCCACCTGCTTCGTCTTTTGTCCTATTTCTTTATAGCACCAAGGCGGTATTTACTGGAACCCCTCAAAATGGTGTATTCTGAGTGTTTTATTGTGGCTAAAAAGCCAAGGATTTTCTATTCCCAGTAAATGACCACTGTCCAACTTAAAACAGCAAGACTCCTAACTTTGACAATTTTTCTCATTCTGTGAATACTCCACAGTAATTGAAGATTAGTTGGCAGTCCTATAAACATTGTACACTTAACATGCAAAATCAGATAGACTGTTTAGTTTTTTTAATTTTTATTTTATTTATTTTTTGACAGGCAGAGTGGACAGTGAGAGAGACGGAGAGAAAGGTCTTCCTTTGCCATTGGTTCACCCTCCAATGGCCGCCTTGGCCGGCGCACCGCGTTGATCCGATGGCAGGAGCCAGGTGCTTCTCCTGGTCTCCCATGGGGTACAGGGCCCAAGCACTTGGGCCATCCTCCACAGCACTCCCTGGCCACAGCAGAGAGCTGGCCTGGAAGAGGGGCAACCAGGACAGAATCCGGCGCCCCGACCGGGACTAGAACCCGGTGTGTCGGCGCCGCAAGGTGGAGGATTAGCCTAGTGAGCCGTGGCGCCGGCCCTACAGTTCTTTCAAAACCTGTTGCCCCTGGGGAATAAAGAGGCCCACGGCAGGGCAGCAATGAGCTTGGAACCCACTGCTCCAGGTCCCCCCAGCGTGCGCATCAGCAGAATCCAAGCCTGGGGCTGCAGTGGCCGGATGAGTGTCCCTTTCCACTCTCCCACCCAGAGGCATCCTCCAATGTCAGGGACACTGCTGGGGACACCTGGGGTTGCGTGGGATGCACCCGGGGACCAGAGCTGCCCTCACCAAGCACCCCGGGTCGGGACATAAACAGCACGAATGGCAGCTTCAGGTAGAGGAGCCAGGTGTGTGCAGGGCTGGCTCCCTCTGAGGGCCCAGGGAGGACCTGTCCAGGCTGCCCCTGGAGGCACCTGCTCAATGGCAGATGTCCCCTTCTCATAATGACTGGGGGATGCTGGGTTATGGCCTACCCCAGCAGCCTCCCTCTGATCATTTCTGGGTAATTCTATCTCCAAGCAGGCTCACGTTCTCAGGTAAGAAGGTTGGGACTCTAGCACGCGCATCTACAGCAGTCGCCGACGCTAGCGTCACGCCAGGCTAACTCTGGGCCGTGCCCTTCCACTTGAAGCCTCACTAGCACAGCCATGGGCTCCGATCTGACGGGGGCTCCAGGCCTGGGGGGTGGGGGGAGGAAAGCAAAGAGGCATTTGGGGGGCTCACTCTACACACCTTGCTCCTGGGTACCTGGCTACTCTATGCCCCTACTCTGGGCCACTTTTAGCTGGGTTGAGAAAGGCCAGCTCTGGCGCCACTGTGCAGACTGAAGGGCCCAGGCCTCCCTTTCAGTAATGAGACCCCTGCACCCACCTCCTGAGCAGAACACGCGGTAGACATTTAGAGACAGCAGCAGGGAGAAAGGAACAGGTGACCCGCTGCAAGCCCTCGTGTAGCCTATGTCTTGGGCAGCGGGTGGGAGGTGCATGCGACCCTGGGCCCTGCCAGACTCAGGGGTCCACTACCTCCCACCCCTGCAATGCTCCTGGAGGGCGCTGGTCAGATCTGCCTTTTCTTTCCTTTCAGGCAGACAGAGGCCCTCATGCCCTGTGCCCCCACCCCCACGGCCGCCCTGGACCTGCCTGCCGCCCCCCAATCCGGAGGGAGATGTGCTCCCACCCACCGGGCAACCCCGGTGTCCCGGACCCTTCTCCAGGTCCTGGACACAGGGCACCCCGCTGTCCTGGTGGGAGTCCCTGGCTCTTCAGGAACTCAGACGCCCAGGGAGCAGCTCCCTCCCTTCCCCGAAGGGCACCCTCCGTGACCCAGCCAGGCCCGACCCCTCTCCCCGGACCGGCCCCAGCACACCTGGCCCTGGCGGTAGTAGTAGCTGTACTCCTTGGGGTCCAGGCGCCGCGGCGGGACGTAGCTGAAGGCCGACAGCGCCGAGATGGGCAGCGGCCGCGGCCTGGCCCGCAGTGTGGCGGCCGTGATCTCCTCTTCCTCCTCCAGGCCGTCCTGGTCCATCGCCTCCGCCCGCCCAGGGACCCAGGCCGCGTCCGCTCGCTGGCCGGGCGCCTTCCTTCGGCACTGCGCCCGCGTTCGGCCGTTGCCTGGACACTGTGGCCTGGCGACCCGCGGCTGGGCCGAGGCGGCGGGGGCAGGGATGACTCCCGGGGCACCTGCGGCCACGCCTGGCGTCCCGCCAGCCCTCAGCTCCCGAGGGAGGAGGCCCGGCCGTCTTCTGCGCCCGGGGGCCACCTGTGGCTTATCCAGGGGCGCCCGGGCCAGCGCAGGTGTTAACCCGCTTCGGCCCCGTGCACTCCTGGCCGTACGGGCTCGGAGAGCCGCTTGCGGGGCAGAGTTGTGAACTTAGGAGCTGCGTGTGTTCAAAGGAAAAGGCTAGCGAAGACCGAGAGGGTCAGGGAGCGCCCTCTAGGACGAGGGGCAGTGGGAGGGGGACCCCGCGGACAAGCACACCAAGGCGCACCTGGGGCGGGAAGGGGCAGGACCCCGTGATGGGGGCTGGTGGTAGGAGTTTCTTCCCTTGCCGCGATGCCTTTCAAACCAGAACACCTGAGGATCCCCAGTGGCTCATCCTCAGGTTTTCTCTGTAGGGTGACTCCCTCTATCGATGAAGACCCCAAGGTCCCCTACTTGAAGCATCAAACTCAAGAACTGAGATTTAGAAATGGAAATTTCATTTTGGCTTGTCCTGCTGATTTTGAAATAAAAATGAATGTGGTTTTATGTGATGCCTGAAACTAAAATCCCCAAATGCTAACAAGTCTGGCAAGCAGCAGGCACCGCCCAGCCCCAGCAGGAACCATGGTGCCTAAAGCAGATACCTGATCCCAGGAACCATGGAGCCTAAGGCAGATACCTGACCCCAGGACCCATGGAGCCTAAGGCAGATACCTGACCCCAGGACCCATGGAGCCCTAGGCAGATACCTGACCCCAGGACCCATGGAGCCTAAGGCAGATACCTGACCCCAGGACCCATGGAGCCTAAGGCAGATACCTGACCCCAGGACCCATGGAGCCCTAGGCAGATACCTGACCCCAGGACCCATGGAGCCTAAGGCAGATACCTGACCCCAGGACCATGGAGCCTAAGGCAGATACCTGACCCCAAGACCCATGGAGCCTAAGGCAGATACCTGACCCCAGGACCATGGAGCCTAAGGCAGATACCTGACCCCAGGACCCATGGAGCCTAAGGCAGATACCTGACCCCAGGAACCATGGTGCCTAAGGCAGATACCTGATCCCAGGTCAGGGGCAGGAAATGGGTAAGAGCGGGGACATCCTGGTCTGTGAGGAAAATGTCCAGACTCGGTGTGACGAGGTCAGGAGGACAGTGGGACCAACGTGAAGGGTGTCTGGTCTGCAGCGAGCATAATTTAGGTGTTAAAAAGAGGGTTGCACAACTTGACTCTCACTGGGATTAAACATGACAATAGGTCTGATCTGATTTCATCATCATTTAAAAAAAATCATCTATTATTTTTCACTTTATGTTTCTGTGTGGGAGCAAACTGTTGAAATCCTTACTTAATGTATACTAAGCTGATCTTCTGTATATTAAGATAATCGAAAATGAATCTTGATGTGAATGGAAGGGGAGAGGGAGTGGGAAAGGGGAGGGTAGTGGGTGGGAGGGACGGTATGTGGGGGAAGCCATTGTAATCCATAAATCGTACTTTGGAAATTTATATTCATTAAATAAAAGTTAAAAAAAAAAGAGGGTTGCAAAGAACTGAAATGCATCAAATAACTTCACGTGTCCATAAAAATGCATGCAAACAAGCCAGATCCTGGCCAGACCACCAGAGGTTTATCCTAAAACTCAATACAAAGGAAGAAACACTGGTTTTGGTTTTTCTATATAAAACGTTTAGGATACACTGACAGTCAACAGGACAAAGCTCTTCCTTGTACTTGAATGAAAGCTGGTAAGAGTGGAATGAATGGCAGCACTGAGAAGCCATTTTGGTTTTTTCTCTGCAGCACCAAGTGAAAATAATGGGTCTGGTCCACAGCCACCCACAGGTGCTACAACTAGAGGACAGAGCATGACGGAGGGATCGTTCTCCATGGATGCCAACAAGACGTCATGGCACCCCGTGACGAGAAATTCTGGCTGGATTTAAGCCAGCCTCGGGATCTGACTCAATTCAACAGGAAACACAAGAGCGAGAGGAACAAGTTAGACAACACCCAACAATGCAGGGCATTCTACAGAGAAACTGATCTAATTTCTCCAGGAACTCAATGGCATGACAACTAGGTGAGGGAGAGGGGTAGTTACGGACCAAGAGTCCACAGAGATTGGTACAATCTATAAAGGTCCTATGTGGACTCGGGTTCTGATTCAAACAAAGCACCAGCTGACAACGAAGGAAACTTAGGATATTGACCGGATATTAAATGGAAGGTAATACAAGTTTAATTTCTAAAATGGCTCCATAGTTAGATGAAAAAAGAAAAAAGCTGAGCATACAATGATATGATAGCTTGACTTCTCCAGGAACATTCCAGTAAAAAGGAGACGAGATGAAATATGATCAGAAAATTATGGTAATTTTTCAGGGTGAATAGAGGACGCCTGTGGACCCATTATACTGTTCTTCCAGCACTTGTGTGTGTTCAAAACTTTCCATGAGAGAAGTTAAAAACAGCAGGGTTATTAAGAGATATTGTTTCTGCCAGCCTCAGAGCCCTGTAGAATCTTTCTACAGACTTTCTACAGGCTGTGCACCACATGCCAGACTCACTGGAGTTGTTGTTGGAGACTCACTTTCCCTGGGATGGGATCAGCAGGACCATCACCAGCACGTGAAGGCAAATTCCTCTCGACAGAGCCCAGCAGTCAGCGAGCATCAGCGTCAAGTTCAGCTGCCCGTCCGGGGCACACCACAGCAACCCAGAGACTGCCAGTCAAAGGGGCAGACAGGGTCAGCATGGAATTTGGAGAAGGGTGAGTTAAAGGAAAGTTTAACACAGCTGGGCTGGGGAGACTGCACAGCCTGGGAAGCTGTGTCAGCATCCTCACTGGTTAGATCAGCGTGGAACGTGGCGTCCTGAACTCCCACACCTGAAGCCTCACAGTTTGGCTACTTCGCTGAGTCAAAGACCCACACCGCTCAGATCTTGCAGGCAACACTGAGCTGTTTTAGTGCTTTGATTTCAAAAGTTGGGAGGACAAACCGCCTCAGCACCACGTCCTTGATGCTACTCACAGACGCACTGTCCCAGGCTCACAGCTGTGCCTACAGGTGCTGAGCCCATCAGTCCTGCTCCTCGCCTCGGTTCCTCCTAGTGAGTCTAGTCTAGTCTCCCACCATTTACCGTTTTTCCAGGCCTTGGGCTGAACAGCGTACAGGCCCGTCTCGTGACACTCTCCTTCACTCAGCTCTTAAGACTGTAAGCAGATCTGGGTGCATTCCTGAGTCGGAAGTCCACCACCTGGGGGCAGAGTTCACCACTAAGGGGCTGAGGGCCCTCCTCACATTGGCCTTGGCTTTTTTTTTTTTTTTGACAGGCAGAGTGGACAGTGAGAGAGAAAGGTCTTCCTTTGCCGTTGGTTCACCCTCCAATGGCCGCTGTGGCCAGCGCACCGCGCTGATCCGATGGCAGGAACCAGGTGCTTCCTCCTGGTCTCCCATGGGGTGCAGGGCCCAAGCACTTGGGCCATCCTGCACTGCACTCCTGGGCCACAGCAGAGAGCTGGCCTGAAAGAGGGGCAACCGGGACAGAATCCGGCGCCCCGACCAGGACTAGAACCCGGTGTGCCGGCGCCGCAGGCAGAGGATTAGCCTAGTGAGCTGCGGTGCTGGCCTTGGCTTCCTTTTGAGGGAGCTACTTTCTTGGCTGCCCAGAACTGCGTGCAGTGTAATGAGTTCTGCTCCTTCCTGGTTTTCCTCCCATCTAATATCTGCCACGTGTACCAAGATTGGGAAGCCGGGATGCTGCTCTTCCAGGAACTCCTTCCGGAAGGATCTCATCTGGGGCCTGCTTCTGGCGAAGAGGGTTAGGGAAGGGGACGAAAATGGCCTGGGGCTAGTTCAGGCTGAGCTGGGTGCAGCCCACAGGTGCCTGCACACACACACACACACACACACACACACCCCGCCCCACACCACAGTTCAGGCCGAGCTGGGTGCCGCCCACAGGTGCCTGCACACACACACACACACCTCCCCACACCACAGTTCAGGCTGAGCCCGGGTGCCGCCCACAGGTGCCTGCACACACACACACACACACACACACCCCTCCCCACACCACAGTTCAGGCCGAGCCCGGGTGCCTGCACACACACACACACACACACACACACACACACCCCTCCCCACACCACAGTTCAGGCCGAGCCCGGGTGCCGCCACAGCCAGTCCGGGACACACACACACACACACACCCCCCGCCCCACCCCTTTTGTTCAGGCCGAGCCCGGGTGCCTGCACACACACACACACACACACACACACCCCGCCCCACACCACAGTTCAGGCCGAGCTGGGTGCCGCCCACAGGTGCCTGCACACACACACACACCTCCCCACACCACAGTTCAGGCTGAGCCTGGGTGCCGCCCACAGGTGCTTGCACACACACACACACACACACACACCCCTCCCCACACCACAGTTCAGGCCGAGCCCGGGTGCCTGCACACACACACACACACACACACACACCCCTCCCCACACCACAGTTCAGGTCGAGCCCGGGTGCCTGCACACAAGAGGCTGTCTAGGGTTTCAGAGCCACAGCCTGGTCATGTGCTAAACTTTGCTGCCCCCTAGTGATGGGATCAAAGAACATCCCCATCGCTTCAAGGTCAGGCTTCCAAGGGCAGCTGTCCTGGCTTAGCTGCCAGGGACTCATTCCAAACCCTCAGTGGGTGCCCGAAATCGGACAGAACCAGATCCTCGGTTCACTTCTCCCTGTGCAAACACTCCCATGATAAAACTGAAGTTGCAAATCAGACAAGTGGGAGAGTCACAGTAATTAATACAATAGAACTATATACTACAGTTCAGTAGTCTTAAGTAGCATTTTCACTTCCTGTGTTCAGACGGCAGGTAATTGAAGCCACTGAAAGCAAAGCTGCAGATAAGAGGGGACCACTGTGAAATAGTTTTCCCACACGGTGTTTGTTCTTTGCGTGACATTTCACAGGTGCAGACGTCTGTGCCTGTCGAATTCACCCCCACCAACCTTATCATCTATTTATTAGCCCGAACCATTTTCACATGTGCATTTTAAGGGTAAAAATATGTTTGAAGCAGTGCCCACTTGGCTCTCATTTCCTTTCCTGGAATGTCCCTGCTGCCTTGCACTGGGTGTTCCAGCCACAATTCC